AGAGAAAGAGAGAAAGAGAAAAAAAGAGAGAGAAAGACAAAGACAGAAAGAGAGAGAGAGAGAGAGAGAGAAAGAAAGAGAGAAAGAGAGAAAGAAAGAGAAAAAAAGAGAGAGAAAGACAAAGACAAAGACAGAGAGAGAGAGAGAGAGAGAGAGAAAGAGAAAAAAAGAGAGAGAAAGACAAAGACAGAAAGAGAGAGAGAGAGAGAGAATTGCCTTGCTTCTTGTCTTTCGACCTTGTTTGCCGGGTGAGCTTCTTAATTTTGTTGACCGCTCCATTTTTTTTTAGCGTAGGCGTTTCCAGACCTGTTCGACCCCTGGCTTTCCTTGCCTCTTGAGAGGTTGGCCTTGCAAGCTGGCACATCTGGAAGGGCCAAGATTAGAGAGCTTCTGGAACAACATCTGTTCTTCTCCCCCCCCCCTTAACCTTGATTGTAAATCATCCAAAGCTGGATTTTGGTTTTCCTCAGTTGCTTTTTCTTCTCTTCCATTTCAGGAGTGAATTGTTTGGCCTACGATGAAGCCATAATGGCCCAACAGGACCGCATCCAGCAGGAGGTGAGCACTTGCGCACGTGGGGAGGGCCCTGCTTGGGTCCACCCCCTTTTATCTTCTGTTTCACGGCTCCGGCAGGGACCCACCCAAATTACACGTATTTGTAGACCTGGTCAAGCTCTATTCTGCCTTGCGTTCTCCCCACTGTTGCTGCTTTGAACCTCTCTGAGCTCCTACATAATTTCCTAAGAGTATCCCACTCTCTTACTCCCCACCCCCAAATCACCCAGGTCGTCCTTGAGTTCGGACAGCCCCCCTCCCAAAATATTCATGACCTGGTTCCTGAGCCCCCCCCACACACAAATTTACAGTACTCTGTGTTTGGCAAAAATGCTGAACGATGGCTTCAGGCGATCACTTAGCCGTGGTGATTCGCTTAACAACCTCTGGGGGGGAAAAAAACCCCACAGGGGTAAGTTGAGAACTGCCTGGTGTGTTTCTCGATGTTGATGATTGACAGCGAATTTAGACGAACTCTCGTTTGCAGCGAGCAGGTCAACAAAGCGTCCGTGGCATTTGGGTGGGATTGCTCATCAGAGAGGGAGAGGCTGGATCCATTTCGGCTGCCGCGTTGGGTGGCCGCGTTGATTCGATCTGTTTCGATCTGATTCAATCTGCAGATTGCTGTCCAGAACCCTTTAGTCTCGGACAGGATGGAGTTGACTGTCCTGTACAAGGAGTACGCCGACGACGACCATATATACCAGCAGAAGATCAAGGTGAGAGAGTCACCTGTAGCCGACTCCATGTGTGGTCAAGTTTAAAGTAGCCAGGGCATCTTCCGTGGGAGAAAAACACCACGTGAAGTATTAATACCACTTTACAAGGCCTCGGTAAGGCCACACGTGGAATACTGCAGCCAGTTTTGGTCACCACGATGTAAAAAAAGATGTTGAGACTCTAGAAAGAGTACAGAGAAGAGCAACAAAGATGATCAGGGGACTGGAGGCTAAAGCATATAAAAAATGGTTGCTGGAATTGGGGATGTCTAGTCTAATGAAGAGAAGGACGAGGGGGGACATGATAGCAAGTCTTCCAATATCTCAGGGGCAGCCCCAAAGAAGAGGGAGTCAAACTATTTTCCATGTCGCCTGAAGGCAGGACAAGAAGCAACAGATGGAAACTTATCAAGGAGAGAAGCAACCTGGAATTAAGGAGAAATTTCCTGGCAATTAGAACAATTAATCAGTGGAACAGCTTGCCACCAGAAGTGGTGAATGCTCCAACACTGGAAGTTTTTAAGAAGAGACTGGACAGCCATTTGTCTGAAATGGGATAGGGTTCCCTGCTTGAGCAGGAGGTTGGACTAGATGACCTCCAAGGTCCCTTCCAACTTTATTGTTGTTGTTGTTGTTGTTGTTAGAGGAGGGGGAGTAGATCAGAGACGTCCAACCGTGGCAAATTTTAAGACTTGTGGACTTCAACTCCCAGAATTCTGCAGCCAGCAAGTCCCCAAACTTGGCCACTATAATGTCATGATTCCGACAGATGAAACTCTTTAAAAGAACTTCGAGGCATTGTTTACCTTAAAGAATCTTTATTCGAGTAGCATGGCATCGGCACGTACATAGGCGAAGCCAAAATCTGAATTCCCCTCCCCTGAGCACGTAGTATCAAAGCACAATTCCCTCCTCCAATTCACAGTCATAAATCCCATTCTCCAATTCGTTTGAAATGCATCGGATGTTCTTGCTTTGACATATCCCTAGTATGGCTGGCTGGGGAATTCTGGGAGTTGAAGTCCACAAGTCTTACAGTGGCTAAGTTTGGGCTGTGTAGACCTTAAGGCAGCTTAACTGGGCCTTCGACCAGGGCGTGCTGAGTTCTTCGTCCGCTCTTCTCCCGGCCCAGGATCTGCTGAAGAAGTATTCGTTCATTCGGAAAACGAGGCCGGACGGGAACTGCTTCTACCGAGCGTTTGGCTTTTCCCACCTGGAGGCTCTACTGGAGGACGGCAAGGAGCTGCAGCGGTAGGCTTGGGGGGTCTCAGGGCCGGGGAAGAGGGGAGAGGGGAACCCCGATGCCCCCCGAGGCCAGCGGAGTTGAAGACGCCAGTCGTACTGATAACGCAGGTTCTGAGGTTTTGCTTGATTAAAAAAAAAAAGACAGACGTTGCCTATCAAGCTTTACGTTTTTATTCAGCTGAACAAAGACGGGCTCCTCTAAAAAGAGAGGAAAAAGCCCCAAATATCAGAAAAGCCTTTATTTTTATATCGTCTTTGATTACGCAAGCAACCCACCCAGCAAAGCTGACACACATAAAAGATAAAAACTTCGCCCTTTAAGGCTGGCACTCTGTAGATGAGAAGGAAGAAAGCAGAAGTAGCTAAAACTGTTCCCTTTTGCGTGTTTCCCATATGTTCCCGGGTGGGTTAGGATATGGGGGGGGGGGTTTCCTTTGCTTCCCTGTTTATGACCTTGCATTCATGGTTCTGCAAGTGGCCAGAGAGAGCGGGGGGGGGGCATCTGCACGTATCCACAATTGCTACTCTCCCCTAAGTCCGGGTCAACAGAACGCAGACATTCACGCCGGGGGTCTCGTTTCAGCTTCAAAGAAGTGGCGGCGAAAAGCAAAGAAGTGCTGGTTGCCCAAGGCTTCACGGAATTCACCATTGAGGACTTCCACAACACGGTAAGGCCTGGTCCTGCCACACACACACCCCCGGGCGTTCGAAGGCCCCCACGGCTGGGGGCGATGGGAGTTGCGGTCTAACCCAGGGGTTTCCGGACTCGGCAACTTTTAAGACTTGCGGGCTTTTATCTCCTTGCGTGATCCAAAGCCAAGGCGCCCAGCAAACCGACTCCTATTTACGACGGTCGCAGCGTCCCGGTGGGGTCGCAGGGTCCCCTTTTGGCGACCCCCTGACAAGCAAAGTCAGCGGGGGAAGCCAGATTGGCTCAACAACGGCGCGACTCGCTTAACAACGGCCACCATTCGCTTCATAAGGGCGGCCAGAAAAGTCGTAAAACGGGGCAAAACTCACTTCGCTATTAGCAGCAAACGAGCAGCCGGGCTCCGTCGCGGTCTTCAATGGAGGGACTCCCTGTTCAGAGGGAATTTTAAAAATGCCGGGGTTTTTTGGGGGTGGTGGTGGGGGGGGGAACTGGGAACGGGTAGATGAGAGGCGAGAAGGAGAAAGTCGGGGAGTTGTGGGGTGTCCCTTCATTGGAAAGCCCCCCCACCACCACCCCCACCAAAATTTCTCCTCTGACTCCCTGCAGTTCATGGACCTGATAGAGCAAGTGGAGAAACAGACCACCCTGGCCGAGCTGTTGGCCTCGTTCAACGACCAGAGCACCTCAGATTACCTTGTCGTCTACCTACGGCTGCTGACGTCCGGCTACTTGCAACGAGAGAACAAGTTCTTTGAGCACTTCATCGAGGGAGGACGGAGCATAAAGGAGTTCTGCCAGCAGGTCAGGCAAGGCCCCCGGGGGGTGGGGGGAGAGGGGGGCTCGAAAGGGAAATGGATAATTTGGGGCCAGAGGGGGAGAGCCTGGAAGGCCAGCCCTTTCTCTGCGTTTGGAGATGCACCGCTCTCTCCGATTTAACCTATACATCTTCGTTGCGGTGTTTCTAGTCCTCATGAATAGAGAGGAAGGAAGCGCCGTGTTTGCTCATGGGCTTTGAGCAGCCGGGGAGGGAGTAGCGGTTTCAAACCACGTCCGTGCAACTCACTGGCTGTTGGTTGGCCTGGAGCCGTGGTGTGTCTCAACCTCGGCAGGGCTTTAAGATGGGTGGACTTCAACTCCCAGGGTGCCCCAGACGGTTCCCACGGTGGTCTGGGGAACTCTGGGAATTGAAGTCCACGCATCTTAAAAGCCCTGCCAAGGTTGGGAAACGCCGGCCTTAGGGGGTAAGGATATGGCTGTGATGATGATGATGATGATAATCTGTGATTATTGGCAATAGATTGGCTGGGGTTTCTAAGCCACAATTGCAGTGATTGCCATTTAGCAAGCATTCGTGATGGGGGGAGCATTGGATCCAGCAGTGGGGTGCCCCATCTCCTTTGGGGAAGGACTGCGCCAACCAAAAGGCAAGAGTCTCTTGCTGAGGAAGTCTCTTGCAGCAGTATTTTGGATTCCTAGGATGCAATTAGTCTGTTTGGTGTGGTGGTGGTGACTGCACCAAGCCAAAAAAACCTGGAGGCCACGAGTTCTAGTCTGGCTTGGGCACAAAGCCACCCGGATAATCTTGGGCCAGCCTCTCTCTGTCTTAGGAAGAGGGCAGAGGCAAATCCCTTGCCAAGAAAACTACAGGGGCTAGCAGTCGTCAGGAGTCGACACTGACCTAAGACACACGTTCTGAGACGGTCTAGGTTCTCCTGCTGGAGCGGGGGGATGGACTAGAAGACCTCCAAGGTCCCTTCCAGCTCTATTCTATTCTCTATTCTCTAACACGGAGGAGTGGGGAGAAGGTCCGTGTGTGGGGAGGGCCTGGCCTGGGCCACCTAACCCGGGGGTAGGCAACTTTGGCTCTTTTATGACTTGTGGACTTCAACTCCCAGAATTCCTGAGCCAGCCACGCTGAGGGGAAAGGGAGAGGTTTCCAAGCTGAGCCATGCTGGCTCAGGAATTCTGGGAGTCATGAGGGGGCCAAAGTTTTCCCCATGCTGGCTCAGGAATTCTGGGAGTTGAAGTCCACCAGTCATAAAAGAGCCAAGGTTCCCCACCCCTGCCCTAGCCAGTAGCCAAAGCACCCCAAAACCTTGGGGCTTCCCTGCCCTCGGCTCCCCAACTCAAAGGCCCATAGGAAGGCATCGTGCGAGAGACCCAGAACCCCCGAGAGGGGATGATGGGAGGTGAGGGGGGCACCATGTTATTTCGTCCTGGAGGGGTCCAAGGTCAGGACTCTCGGGCTCTTCGTCCACTTAGCTCCGAGGCCAGGCGGGATGACGGGCAGCTGAGGCCTCCACCGATCCAGCAAGCTTTTATCACATTTCAAGGCCACCCATCTTACCTTAAGGCAACGCAGGCCTGTGTTTCTAGTCCTCCTGAAGGCAAAAGAGCTCGCTTGCAGGCCTGGGTGGGCATCCTTCTGCCAGCAGATTGGGTGTGTGTGTGTCAACTTCTCAGTGTCTCTGCTTGTGGACTCAAACCGCCTCTCTTCTCCCACCCCGGCCCTCCCTCTCTCTTTCCCAGGAGGTGGAACCCATGTGTAAGGAGAGCGACCACATCCACATCATTGCCCTGGCCCAGGCCCTCAACGTCTCCATCCTGGTGGAGTACATGGACCGGGGCGAGGGCGGGACCACCAACCACCACGTCTTCCCCGAAGGCTCGGAGCCCAGAGTGTATCTACTGTACAGACCGGGACACTATGACATCCTGTATAAATAGAGGGGGTGGGAGCGAGGCAGGGGGCTGGCCAGCCAGCTCCCCCCCCCTTCCTGCCTTCTTGCGCTCTCTCTCTCTCTCTCCCTTCCCCTCCCCTCCCCTCCCTCCGCTGCCCCTCGCCCCCCCACCCCTGGCGTTCCCCATCTCGCCCGTGTTTTCCCACCACCCCCCTCGCCGGGCAGCCTCGTCTGTGCTTGTAAATGGTGACCGTCCCTGCTGCCCGTCTCGCTCACTTGGTTTGTTTATTATTATATATTTTTCCCTGCTTCCGTTGTTACACTCACACTCTTCCGTGTTTTATTAAAGGGGATGCCGGTGAAACGAATGTTTTTTTCCCGCTTGTGGCTTTCACTCTAGTGTTACTAGGATAGGAAGCCGCCGGCCCCTGCCGATGGTGGAAGGCTCAGACATTAAAGAGTAGGGGTCCCCAAAACCGTGGCCACTTTAAGACCTGTGGAGTTCAACTCCCAGAATTCCCCAGCCAGCTGTGCTGGCTGGGGAATTCTGGGAGTTGAAGTCCACAGGTCTTAAAGTGGCCACGGTTTGGGGGACCCCTGCCTTAGAGCACCCCGGCAATCTTCCTTGACAAACTCATCCTCGGCAGGCTACACGCAGCAAGAGCCTAGTCCTCAGGGTTGCTGTTGAACCATCCCCTGGCCAGACACCTGCAGCTGTTGTTTTTTTTTCACGTCACATCCCTGGGGCCATCCCTTGGCCACTGGCCAACGGCGTCTTAACAGTCTGGGTGGTTTTTTGTGTTTTTTTTGCGATGCCAACGTGGGCAGAAAAGTCTTTTGCTTCAGATCTTTTGTTCCGGTTCTCTTAGGAGAGGCAGAACGATGGCGCTCCGTTTTCTCCGGACTTTTTTTTTTTTTTTAGCCCCCCTGAGCAGAAAATTGCTACGCACGGCAAATTGTCTGCCAGGAAAGGAGGGGTTTCATTTTTAAGGGGGGGTGGGGGGTGTAAACGCTCCGCAGTTTAAATATAGTCAGGCTAGCCCTCTTCCATTATCTGCCAAATGTGGGTCAAGTAGTAGGCGGATGTAATTCTCTGTGTTTGTGTTTGTGTGTGTGTGTGTTTCACACACAATTCCAGCTCTGCTTCCACTCACTCGCCCCCATCCCTCCACCAGGCTTTACGAACTGGATTCGTCTTTGCATTTTTATTTTTATTTTATTTTTTTGTTTTCATTTTTATTCGGGAATTGCGGCCGTTGGCGCTTGGGGAAGGGGTGGGTGTTTTCTTCCAGCTTCCCCCCCCCCGTTGGAAAGGACCCGGCGGCGTCTCCTCCTGCAGAGAAGCAGCGGCATCGTCAGGAAGCGTCTTCAGAGCTTGGCGGACGGCGTTTCCTCACCAGGATCTGCTGGGAAAGAAGGACCGAGGGTAAGATCTGGCCCGCTGCAGTTGCCTCCCGTTTCCCAACAAAGCATCGCCTCCATTTGAGCCTCAGTTGCCCCCCAAAAAACCGCCGTGGGTCTGTGTTGCACCTTCCTGGGGAGGCGGGCAAGGTGTGAACACGTCCTGTCTTCAGTGGTGGAGAAAAACAACGTGTGTGAAGAGTCCATTTCCGGAGTGGAATGGGCAGCATATGCAGAAGTGAATAAATTTAAGCCAGCGTTAAACTTGACCTGTGTTTGCACAGTGCAGAGAGAAATATAACCAACTCTTGATCATTTCTCTCCTCCTCCTCCTCCTCCTCCTCCTCCTCCTCCTCTTAAATTTTTTGTTGTCTGCCTGTTTTCTGCTAATTCTAGACCTGTTGCTTATTTCACCCCAACGTGGGAATGTTATGCCCTTTACAAGCCATATTCTGATTTATGCATTCCTGTTCTTTGCCTCTCCTTGTTGCTTGCCCTTCTTTTAACCATTCCTGCCGGGGCAGGGCGGGGTGAGCTGGTTGCACAGTGGTGTGACATGTGAAAGCAGCATGGGACAAATTCTGCACCCTTCTGGGAGGTGGGGAGGGGGGTCCGATGCAGAAATGCTAAAATACAGGGCGCTTTTCATAAAACGGCCATGTCGGGACGGTGACCCCCCCAAAGTGCTGGGAGCTTTACTCCGCTCCCGCAGAATTTGTCTGTAAGTGGTTATGTGTAAAAGGAAAAAAGGAAGTGCAGGCAATCCTCTTACTTACGACTGGAATCGGGAGCCGAATTTCCATTCCATTGTTAAGTGAGCCGCGCCCAATTTTACAGCCCCTTTTTTTTGTCAACGTTAAGCAAGTCATTCGGTCGTTAAGCGAAACTGGCTTCCTCCGTTGACTTTGCTTGTCGGAAGGGGATCGGCTGACCCCGGGACACCGCAACCGTCATCAATACGAACCAATGGCCAAGAGGCCCCAATTTTGATCGCGTGACCGTGGGGGGAATGCTGCCCTGGTCGTAAGTGCGAGGACCAATTGTAAGTCCCTTTTTTTTCCAGGGTCGTAACTTCGGTCACTAAAGCTAGCAGTGGTAAGTCGAGAATTATCTGTGCAAAGCCTCCGTGGGCCTTCCCTGTCTCTCCCACCGGGCCCGAGGGAACGAGAGTTTTAGTGAGCGAAAAACAGGCTAAGAAAACGGTTAGGGCGAGCATGCGTTTCCCACGATGCACTGCACACGATGCTGGAGAATGCTTACCCCTTCGGAGCATGGAAAGGCTGGGGGGGTCAGGCTGGAAACGAGAGGAGGGAATGGGAAGTTTCCAGGAAGCCATTGATTGTTCTTTGATATCCCCTTCTTGCCACTTAGATCTGCGTTTTTCAACCTGGGCGGCTTTTAAGAGGCGCGGACTTCAACTCCCAGAATTCCCCAGCCAGCGATGCTGGCTGGGGAATTCTGGGAGTTGAAGTCCGCGCCTCTTAAAAGCCGCCCAGGGTTGAAAAACGCTGACCTGGCTGGAGGACCCCAAGCAAGGACTCACCGATAGGGAAAAACTTGGGCAGCTTCTCCTTATAAATCTCATCATCCTTTTCCAGGAAAACACACAAGACCAGCCGCTCGACCTGCCCAAGATAACAACCACAGTTAGTAGGAGAAGGAAGGTGTGTGTGTGTGTGTGTGTGTGTGTGTGTGTGTGTGTGTGTGTGTCAGGATGGCATGTTTGAATTTTATGTCCCACCCCCCTTCATGCATTGCTTGCAACCGGCCCCATGGAAAGTTGAAGATCCTGTCTCAAGTTAATTGTCCGGGTGGATTTAACAACATTTCCATTGGGGGGGTCAGGGATTGCTCTACTTCAACGCCAAGCCATTTTATTTTACTTTGTTTAAATTTCTCACGAGTTGTGTCTGGACACCCCTGGTTACCGTCTTTGGGGTGATTTCTAACCCAGGGGAGTTGTGTTTTTCACTGCCGCGTTGTCTTCCAACGCCTGCACACAAGGGGTGGAGAACTTGATTGAAGAGTTTAATTAAAAAGAAATAGAGGCTGCTGTACATGAGTTCTCTCTCTCTCCTCTCCTCTCCCTCTTTCTTTCCTTTCTCTCTTGCTCTTTCCTGTCCCTCTCCCTTTTTCTTTCTCTCTCTCCCTTTCCTTCTCTTTCTTTCCTCTCACTCTCTTTCCTTTCTCCCTCTTTCCCTTTCTTTTCTCTCTCCCTCTCCCCTTCCTCTTTTCTCTTTCCTCTTTCCTTCGTCTCCCTTTCTCTTTCTCACTTTCCACTCCTCTCCCTTTCTTTCCCTCTCCTTCTCTTTCCTCTCTCGCTCTTTCCTCTCCCTCTCTCCTCTTTCCTTTCTTTTTCCTCTTTCTCTCCCTCTTTGTCTTTCCTCTTGTTCTGTCTCCCTTTCCTCTCCCTATCTGTCTTTCCTCTCCCTTTTTCTCTTTCTCTCCCTCTTTTTCTTTCCTCTTTCTCTTTCCTTTCTCTCACTTTCCACTCCCCCCTTTCCTCTTTCCTTTCTCCCTCTTTCCTCTCTCCCTCTTTCCTCTCCTTTTCTCTCCCTTTCTTTCCTTTCTTTCCTCTTTCTCTTTCCTCTCTCCTTTCTCCCTCTTTCCTCTCCCTTTTTCTCTCCCTTTCCTTTCTCTCTCTTTCACTTTCCACTCCCCTTTCCCCCTCCCTTTCTTTCCTCTTTCTTCTTTCTAGCTCTTTCCTCTCTCTCCCCCTTTCCTCTCCCTTCCCTCTCCCTTTTTCTTTCTCTTTCCTCTCTCCCTTTATTTCCTCTCTCCCTCCCTCTTTCCTCTTTTTCTTTCCCTTTCCTCTTTCACTTTCCTCTCTTTCTCTTTCTCCCTTTCCTCTTTCCTCTCTCCATCTTTTCTTTCTTTCCTCCCTCCCTTTCTCCCTTTTCTCTCCCTCTCCTTCTTTCTTTCTCCCTCTTTCCCTCTCGTTCTCTCTCCCTTTCTCTTTCCTTTCTTTCCCCTCCTTTCTTTTCTTTCTCTCCCTCTCCGCCTTTCTGTCTTTCTCTCTCTTGTTCTGTCTCTTTCCTCTCCCTTTCCTCTCCTTTTTTTCTCTCTCCCTTTCTCCCTCTCTCCTTTCTCTTTCCTCTCCCTCCCTTTCTCTCCCTTTCTTTCTCCCTCTTTCCCTTTCCTTTTTCTCCTCTCCCTCTCTCCGATCTTCTGCTCACCTGGCAAGCTGGCTTCAAGCTGTTCTCCAACAAACTGACAGAGATTCTTATTGGGCTGGCTCTCTCCTGCCCTTCCTGGTTCCTGCAGAGACGCAGCCAAGGCAGGAGCCCCGCCCAATAAGCTTGTCAGCTCGTCGGATAGGGTGAGGCCACTCTCTTTTTTACACACACATACACACACACACAGAGAGAGAGAGAGAGAGAGAGAGAAGGGAAGCGCAAGTGCCTCTGTCTGTCTGTCTCTGCAAATGGCAGAGGAGGCTGAGAGCTGCAGGAGAAGGCTCAAAGAGCATCCGGAGCCACAAGTTACCGACCCATGGTCTAGTCTCTTAAAAATCTCCAGTGATGGAGTGCCCATGATTTCTGGTGGCAAGCTGTTCCACTGGTTGATTGTCCTCACTGTCAGGAAGTTTCTCCTTAATTCCAGGTTTGCTTCTCTCTTGAGAAGCTAATATTAGGTGTTTGGTCAGAAAGGAGACACCAGGGAGAGCCAAATTGCTGGTTTTCAGATGCAACCAGGCGCCTCCTCCCCTCCACACACACACACCTTGTCCTTGTTGTCCTCTAGCCAATTGTGCAACGTGTTCAGAACCACCTCCGCAGCAGCGTCATTGGGATAGCCTGGGGAGAACATTGGAAGTTGCTGAATACCTGGGCACTTACCCTGTCCCCCTCTCTCTTTCCTGCCTTAGGTACTTACCAAAGACCCCCGTGGAAATGCAGGGAAAAGCCTGTGGGCAGAGAGGAATATTAAGAGGGTGGTTTAAGGATGGTTTTGGGCCTTGAGTCGGACACGAAATGCTTCTAGGTTTTAGCTAAAACTTTTCTCTCTCGCACAAAGGTGAGAAAAAGTAAAAAAAGGTAATATTCCCCCCCTTTTTTTTCTCTCTCTCTCCATCTTGGGAAGCCTCAGCTTCCAAAGGGGTGATGTGGGTAAAACGAATGTTGTGTGTGCAGGAGGGACAATAAACCGATACGTACCCAGAAATCCTTCGAGTCAAAATGGCAGTGAAGTTGAACTGGTCTCGATCAGCTGAAAATGTAAGCTCTTTCGTCCTTCCCTCATCATCTACACACACACACAAACACACACACCCCAGCCCCCTGTTTTGGATGGTGTTTTCCTCAGAGTCTCCTGCTCGAGCAGGGGGTTGGACTAGAAGACCTCCGAGGTCCCTTCCAACTCTTGTTACTCTGCAAATACGCTGGACTCCAGTATCCAAAGCGGGCATCTAGGTCCTGAATTGGTGCCTCTTGGATGGGGGAGCGAAGCAAGGCCTGCTCAGACCTTTGCTGGAAAGCCCTGGCCTGCCTCTCCTCCGTCCACGGTGCCACGTCGACTGAGGTTTAAGCTGATTGTCTGAAAAGTCTTAGGAGGGTCTTTTGAGTTGCGTGCTGGGATCGATATTTCAGAAACGGTATACAGACCCCAATTGGACCTTTAGCTGAGGCTGGAGAGCCTATCTCCTTCCCTCTTGTAGGAATTTCCCTTCCGGTCTTCCCCAACACCCCTTGAGTTGGAGGATGTCGTCGTTTTAGCCCGTGGCTTGATGGACTTTCTGCCACAGGCCTGAATACAACAGGAGACTCAGACTCCAAAATAAAATGGGCAGCTTAACAGCTAAGGTAAGTTCCTTAGCAGTACTGAGAAATGGATGGATTAGGTCAGTGTTTTGCTACTTCAATTCCCAGGAGCCCCTACTGGCTGGGGAATTCTGGGAGTTGAAGTCCACCCCTCTTAATGCAGCCAAGATTGAGAGGTGCTGATCTTGTTCATCCATTTCTAAGTAGCATCCAATGAGGCGGGCAGCCTCGTGACCTCCACGCGTTAGGGGACTCCAGTTCCCATCATCTCCAGCTTGAGGGACCTAACGTGTTGGCTTGTGCTGCCGAAGAGAGAAGGGGACCACCAGGTGATCCCCTTAACGCTTCCAGTCCCTGCTTGGTGTACTCACCACCGTTTGCAGCTTATTCTCCAGGGCGAGTTTCAAGCTGTTCTTGTAGCAGTCGCCGAGTTCGGTCTGCTGGGAGGGACTGGGCTCCCCCTGGGCGATGGGCCCCACCGTGTGAATAACAACTGGAAGGCAAACGTGGGGTGTGGTTGGAAGCAGCCCCGAAGCCCCCTCCCCAGCTTCCTCAGAGATCCGGGTGAGAGAAGCAAGCTGGCTCTCTTTCGGCCTCCCCTCCTCGCGGAGCAGAGCCAGGCCGACTTCATGATAGACTTGAAATACTTTTACAAATTAACAAATGAGAGCTTTAAAATAATTCGCTCCCTATCCTATGGGGGTCCCCCTCCCTCCCCCAGTATGGTGCCCCCCTCCCTCATCCACAACCATTTATCCTGCTTTAATGTAGCCGTCTTTGGACTCGTTCCACTTTGCTTTTCTTCGGCCTGCACTTAGCCACCCACTTACCCAAGCAGCAATATATATATTTTAATGTCCCCTTTTGTGAAAATGAAGTTTACACACTCGGCGCAAAGACAGCCTCGGAATGATTGTCGTTCGCTTTTGGCTCGGCCAGATGGAAACCGAACGGGGAACCGATCATTACGGACTTGGCTCGCCTCCCGCCACCCTGTCCTTTTCCCCACGTTTGCATTATTTTTCAAGAGTTTCTGGAAATTCCCCTTTTCTGATTCGAAGGTGCAGTCCTTTCTCTCTTTACTGTGGTCCTCCGAGGACCAAAATAGGCCCCCCCAAAATGCTCTTTTGGATTAAATAGATTAAAAAAAAAGCAAAGCTCTCTCGCAATCTGTTATGAATCATTTGAAACCTCTCCTGCCAGCTGCTGTGTGTGTGTCTTTGAGCATCGGTCATGCACGCATGATGCTCGGCGTCCTGTGTACGTGGGAAGGCAGAGTTACTCGCCTTCCCTAATTCTACAAGGGAGGCTGTGTAATTAAAGAGAACATCTGCAATGAAAAACAAAAAAAAACCTGTTTTACTGGCATGTTCCTCTCCTGCCAATAGGTGAAGAGCAGAGAGAGAAAGCGGCCTTAGAAATGGCGAAGAAGATTAACAAGGGAATGTTAGGGGGGGGGGAAGGGGGAGAAAGACATCAAGCCCCCCCCCCAAAAAAGCTGGGTTGCCTTCCTGATGCTTTGTTGCTGATAAATGCTCGGGTGCAAAGGCCGGCTGGGGTCACCAGGGGGTGCTATTGAGCTAGCAATCCCTTAGAATACTGTACAGAATTGGAAGGGAACTGGGCACCTTGGGGCTTTCTGCACATGTTCTGCTTGTGATGGGACTTGATTGGGGGGCTGCAGGTGCCCCCCCTTTGCTGTGGGGAGCAGGGCAGGGCCGGTGGCAGTCGAAAGGGGCCATCCAGGCCTGTTTCAAGCCTGATTGGGCAATTGGGCAGGGTTACCCCCCCCTCCAGGTGTCTGTTGGAGCTGCCAGACCTCTGCTCAGTTGCTCCCCGGTGTTTGCCCACTGACGTGGTTGCCCACCTGCTCCTGAGCCAGGGGTGGCAGAATGGGGGGGGGCTCTCCCAGGATTGGGCCAGGGAAGAAGGGGGAGCCACCGCTAAAGGCAGTGCTGGCGGCCTTGTCCCACCTGAGAGGGGGACGCCCTGGGCCTGGGTTTGGAAGGAAGAAAATTGAGCTGTGCTGGAGAAGGCTCCATCACTGGAGATTTTCAACAAGAGACTGGACAATCACTGTCTGAGATGGTATAGGTTCTCCTGCTTGAGCAGGGGGCTGGACTAGAAGACCTCCAAGGTCCCTTCCAGCTTCTATTCTATTCTATTTTCTATTCTATTCTATCCTATCCCGTTATTCTATTCTATTCTATTCCTTTATTCTATTCCAGTGATGGCGAACCTTTTAGAGACCGAGTGCCCAAACTGCAACCCAAAATCCACTTATGTATCATCAGGTGCCGGGTGGGCGTGGCCATATTGGGTGGACATGGCCGCAGGGGTTAACTGCAGACTGGGTGGGACTAAAAAGTTCAATCAATTCCAACTTTGTGAGAAGTTGAAATTGATTGATTGAACCTTTTTTTTTTTTTTGCACACAGCGGCGGCGGCCTAAAGCGAAAAGGTTTTATAAAACCCAGCTGAAGGCCTAGGACTGGGGCGACGGCGCGTGTGCCCACAGAGAGGGCTCTGCGTGCCGCCTCTGGAATTCGTGCCATAGGTTCGCCACCACGGTTCTATTCCTTTTCTATACTCTACTGTATTCTATTTTTCTATATTCTATTCTATTCTATATTCTATTCTATTCCTTTTCTATATTCTATTCTATTCTATGCCGTAATTCTGTTCTATTATTTTATTCTATTCTTGCCGGTTTGGTGCTTCAGCGTGTCTTAACCCTGGTGCATAATAAAACGCCCGGAATGTGTAACGCTCCAAGCCATAAAACCTAATTTATAAACTGAAGCCTCTGGCTTCCATTTGCGTATTGCGACAAGACCCAGGTTAAGTGTGTAAATCAAGCCACTGTGATTGATAGATTTGAGCCCAACTGTTGAGTTCGCCTGAACCAACAATGTGCCACGTGGGCTGGATTCCCGCAAAGCGCCAATTTGAAAAGAGAGTGGCCGAGCGCCTACTTCCGCGTCCTTGCAGAAATGCCAAGGCTCAAACGTTGTGCCTGTAGCTCTTTCCTGATTTGGGGAGAGAGGGGAAACGGGGGGGGGGGTCTCTGAGCATTCAGTATGGGGGAAATTAGACCTTCGAGGCAGTGGCCGGACACAGAAACCTTCAGGATGAGACTTACCGATTGAGTCTGATGTTCTTTCAAAGCAACGTATTTTTACAGAGAGCGGGGAGGAAAAAAAATCCAAATATAAAAAAATATCGGTCTTGTTAGTCCGCTGTTTGCAAGCAAATCGATTTAATCTTATAGATGGCTGTTGCTGGTGCAAAGGAGGGGGTGGGGGGAAGCCCCCCTTGACTCTCTTGTCAAAAGAGACAGGAGGAAAAAAAATTAGCAGCCCAAACTGTCATGGGGGGGGGCAAGCAGCTTAGCATGAAATTCAATTACAAGGGAGGGAGGTGGGCAAGGAAGCCGGGAGGCAGCACTTGAAAAAAATTAAATAAAATCCAGCAAGGAGTTAAAATGAAGAGGCTTCTCAAAATAAACGGCTTTAAACCACAAAGTTTTCATTGCCAGCACATTTTCACACAACTCTTCCCCCCCCAAAAAGCTGGCAACCTTTAAATTGGATGGCTGTGCTCCTGAGCAAGTGCAGAGTGCATTTTCTGCCCATCAGAGAAAAGGGGGCTGGAGTCCTCCCCCCCTTAAAGCATCTGCATGTTTTTAACCAGTTGTGTGAACTGAGCTGCTGTGGTTTCTAAACAAGAGTTCGTGGCTTAGCGTGTTGGCTCTATCTAGAGAATTGTGGTTTATTTGATAAACCAAACCACAGCTTAAGGATATGTGGATATTAGCAAGAGTCCAATTCCTCCCCCCCCCCCCCGGTGAGCTCTTTGGGGTGACTGGCAGCCCATCTCATCGGGTTTCTCAACCCTTTTTCTGGCCACAATCTCCCTCTTTGCCGAGGTCCCAAAATCCTGGCCTAAGATTAAAACTAACCAATTTTAACCTGGGGTCACATCTGCTGGCCTTCCTGGGGCCTGCTGAAGCCGGTTGGATAAAAGTGGGTGTTTCCTGGAAGCAGGTATAAAAAGAGGGGACAGAAAAAGGGAAAGAAGGAAGGAAAGAAGGAAGGGAAAGACCAATAGGTGAAGGAAGGAAGGAAGGAAAAGACCAATAGTGGAAGGAAGGAAGGAAGGAAGGAAGGAANCCTCCCTCCCCCCCATCAACTAGCCCAAAGAGAGCCCCCTTCTCGGATCATCATCATCATCATCAAAGGGGGGGACGCCTCTGCCACAGCCCATTTGGCGGGGGGGGGGCGCTGCTTTGTCCTTCCAGATTCCCGCAGAGACCCCCCCCCGGTTAATTCACGCGCCTCGCCCTCCTGACCCCCGCCCCAAATTGCATTACCCAACTGAAGGGGCCGCGGAGGGTCGCCGCCTTTGCAGGCCCCCCCTGCCCGCTCTTCGCCCCCCCCGGGAGGAGGAGGGGGGTCCGAGGCCGGAGGGGCGGGCAGGGACCCCCCCGAGCAGGCTCGCTCTTCCCAAGCGGGGAGGGGTCGTCTTGGCGTGCTTCCCCCGGGCGACCCTTGCAGATGGGGTGGGGAGCCGCGCCCGCCCCGCTTCCCCCCTGGCGGGCAAACCATGGTTTGCCTAAGCTATGGTCTCCTGACTTAACCACGGTTTGGGTCAAAAGGCAGGCGTGGGCCAACGTCGACGCTTGGGGAGCTGGTCGGAGCAAGGGTGGGGGCGCCAGCCCTAGGAGGGGGGGCTCCCGGGAAGCCACGAAGCCCCTTCGACGCCCTGAAGCCCCCTCCCCACTGGGCTCTGACCCCGCCCACTAGGGGCGTGGCTTCCGACCGCTGCGGTGGAGCATCTCTGCCGCCGGCTGTCAATCTCCGGGCGTCTCACCTGTAAAGCAAAAGCAGCCAAGCAAACCCAAGGGGGGGTGGAGAAGCAGGCCAGCCCCCCCCCGTCCACCTCCTAAGGGTCTCTCAGTTGCTCATTGGTGCAAATCAAAGAGAGCCAGCCTTGTCTCTGCACACACACACAAACACACACACATACACACACACATATACACACACAGCCTTTGATGTGGGAAAAGCATTGCAGGAGGGGGGGGGAAGCGAGGGGCGCCCGGAGAAGAGCCGGATCAGCAGAGTTTTTTCTAAGGTTAAAGGCAGGAAGATGCTTTAAAAAAAAAACAAAAACCATGGCAACTTTGCAGCCATTTATTCCTCTTTATCTCCTCCCCCCCTCCCAATTCTTTACTCTTCCTGGTGCACGTGTGGATAATTAGGCATTACTCCCTGGAATAGAGAAAAAAATCATAAAATGCACTGGACACTGCACTCCCTACGGTCCCCCCCTAATGGTGCGGAGGGGCAAGTTTCATGAATGAGAAGAGAAGCTTTTTTAAGGGGGGAAAAAAATCAAGAATTGTCCAATTGTCTTCTGGTTGGGGGGAAAAAACCCCCAAAACACCTTTAGGATCCTGAATTGCTGCTTTCGCACTTAAGGCAG